TGGTTCAAATGAAGCAGATCTAGAAATGCATGCAAGAAAATCTTGAAATGGACGGCCTAAATAATATGGTTCAATGTTATTTTTGGGATTTGAAATTGATTCTTTTTTTTTCGATATCTATATATCGAGATAATTAATTAGATAGTTTTCCAATATCATATGGCTTTTGTTGATGAATTTTTGAGGTGTACCTTGAATCTCTGATTTAAGGTGTCAACCTCATATAATTTTTTTCCATAAATATAAAACTCAGAAGAATGGCAATGTAGAGGCCACCATTTTTCTATTTTGATTAGTGAATAGATAGATGGAGCTCTGTCCTAATTTCCCATTTATTCATGGGAACCCATCTTCTAGTATGAAAAGATAAACCGTGTGGAATTGAGATGCAACATGTTTCACATATGCTCCAATGTGGAAATTTTAGCTTCCAGGAGCTTTAGACTCTATTATTCCAAAATTTTCTTGAATCTTATCATAATTTCATTGTGAGAAGAACAAATATTTTAGAAAGCCAAGACCTCGAACTCCGTTTCCGATTCGGCCGCCAGCTATAAATACCCCATAGACTTGAAAAAAAATCCTGTGTGTGTGAATTGAACTTGATTGTTTTAATTTTTTTTTCCTTGATGTATCAGTTATCGTACTAAAACTTTGGGACGGTACTCCATCCACACGTTGTGGATGCTTAAGAGGGCGTTAGCTCCATAAGGTTTAGATTGAACCAACTGTTGTGCACGAAAGTTCTAAACCCGATAGGTTGATTTTTGATAAATAAAGTACGAGAAATAGAATATGAAACATATACCACAATAATATAAAGATTTACGTGGTTCACCTCAAGAAGAGCTACTACGGCCATGGCAAATTAAAATCCACTTTACCAATTAAAGTTACATCAAAGATTTTGGAACAAAAATCGATAAATATTTTGGATCAAACTTCGACAAAAACACAGGCAAGCAAAACTCTTTTAAACTACTCTCCCTTCAGTTTTTTACTTTTGGCAACTATTACCGATAACACCAGATAAAGACACGAGAGCAACGAGAAACTGACTTTTTCTAACTAAAAAAAGGTAAACCACTAAAAATCTCAATAAGAACCGCTTCTCTACAAGAAACAAACATCTCAATATCCATGAGTCCATAGGAGGCACTATCACAATGTTGCTTCTCAATCTCCTCTCAATATCTAGGAACAAGCCTCTCAATATTCAGAAGTCTATAGGAGGCACTATCACAATATTGCCTCTCAATCTTTAGGAACAAGCCTAGCCCTCTCAATATCTAGGAGTCTATAAGAGGTACTATCACAATGTTTCTCTCCATAGGAAGCCGTCTTCTCTAAGAGGAAATTGCATCTTATGCATAGGAGGTTCTGTCTCCCTCTCTCTAAATATGGTGACCTAAATATGGCACACAGATTTTCTGCGCTTTCATCCCATGTATATAAGATTATGAGTACATACTAAATTCGAAACTTTCTTTTATATTTTACATATATCTCAAGATCTAAGAGATATATACCAGAGTCTTAATCCTTTTGGATTTCTATTTCCTTTAGAAAACTTATCAATATCAAACTCAATCTCAATCCTACATAATATGGGATTTCCGTATGTGGGTGATTTTGAATAGCACCAAATCCAACACCAACATCATCCAAAAACAACAACAAAATTTATTTTTTAAAAAATTATATTAAGCTGAAATTTAGATTCTAGTTTTTTTTATGAGTAGGATTGAATAAAAAAGAAAATATTGATCATAATAATCAAGGAATTTTTTTTTGATCAAAATACATTTAGTGTTATTTTGATCTTTTTTATTTAAAATATATTTTAGTCATTTTTTTCAAGTTATCTTTATGAAAACAAACCTACAACCCAAAATTCAGATAAATATTTTATTTTAACAAAAAATAATAAATAAAATGTGAAATCATTCTTTGGCCATTAAATTAAGCCTTATCAAATCTCAACCATTGGAAGGGTGATTGTGCATCCCTCCACCCATTCACATCCTGTAGATGCGATACTTTTCTTAAAAAAATATCGATGGGCCAAACACGGTCTAATAGTATTGGTAATGTGTAAAGAGTAAATAAATAAAAAGATTGTCTACAAGAAAACTATTTACCTTTTGTACAATGAGGTTACAATCATTCTTGTCCCTTATATTTCAAAATAGGTTGTTGTAAGAGTGTCGGCGATTAGACACAAAATTTCAAAACAAATTCTTGGACTTTGTGACTCACCCCAAGCCATCTAATGTGGCATCTGAATGAGGCTCCCATTGTTTATTTTTACAACAAAATTTTCAAATAAGAGCAAGATACAGTACTTTATGGTGTTAAGACCTAAAGCCGGCATCCTTTTATTTTTTTTAATTTTTTTTAATTTTTTTTAATTCTTAATATTTAAGACCTTCTATGATTTTTTTTTTGTGAGTCGATGGGGAGAGTTTTTATTTTTTTTAATTCTTAATAGTCAAGACCTTCTATGATTGTTTTTTTAGTGAGTCAGTGGAAAGAGTGCCCTACAGTTGATTGGAAATTAGCTTAGGACGTAGCGTTTTAAATCATCAAGGGCTAACCAATTAACCCAGGGGTCTTTTTCCTAAGACCTTCTATTATTCTCTTAGCATATCTGCAGATTGCCTAGTGACAAAGCATGTATCCTCAAAGCCACATGTTAGCGAGACATAACAGCACCAAAAAATAGCGCTACCAAATGGCTAGTTTAGGATAGACCCAAGCCGGGCCTGGAACAATGTAGGGTAGGCCTAGGCCCGATGCTTGGCTCAAAATTTTGGTTGTGGGCCCTGTTTAGTTCAGGCCTGATAACTAGGCTCATGGCTCGAACCAGAAAAATAGTTCAGCTCTATACAAATATAGAAAACAAAAACTTAAGAATTTTCAAGTGGAGCCCATGCTACGCCCGCCCGTCCAAAAAAAAATTTTGGGCATTCAACCCAGACCTATTGGCCTTTAAACACAGTTTTGAATCCCACTTGAAACTGGGCAAGGTTGCGGGGCTAGTGTTCGAAAAATCGAAGCGGCCTCGAAAACCGGCCAACGGCTAGGTCGGAGTAACCGGTAAATCAATGGGTTCAATCGGCCTAACAGAGCAAGTCCCGGCCGGTCTAAAAAATGTTAAAAAAATAAAAAATATAACTCGAGTAAAACCCAACCTAGAGCTATTCTTAGAAGCCCCTACGGATGAATCCCTTTCAATCCCACCAACTTCAAAAATAAAAGTCAAATACATTATCTATGAGTTTGAAAAACATAATGTTCTAAAATTCTAATTTTATGACTGCTAGATGTACTTGTCAAAGAACTCAAAATAGTAACATGCTCCACTAGAGCACAATACACAAACTGTTGCTAAATTCAAGTGAATTCCAAAACAAAGATTGCCTGATAAATCAAATGTTGCCCTATTTATTTAGGGAAAAACTTTATAGAAAAAATTATGCTAATATCTATTATAATATGCATTATTACAGATACACCTTTGAGTTTCCGTTATTACCAGAATGTTTGTTTTTTCCCTTTCATAATGACATTTTTTAAAACAGATGACTTTACTCATTTTCGAGTGTTGAAGAACTGAATTAAAAAAAAATTCAGTTGTTTAACAACAGAAAACGAGAATAGTTGTTTTAACCTTCCTGCGATGGTTTCGATTGTTCAACAACTGAAATTAGTGTTTTCGGGTGTTGAACAACCGAAAATCTAATTTTGGTTGTTCAACATTGAAAATTATACGGGGGCTCGTTTTAAACAAGAACTGTTACTGTTCTTGGGCTGCACTGGTCCAAGAACATATGAAATTATTCAATCCCCTTATTTTTCACTCTTTCTTACATATCTAACTACCGAAATCACTACTTAGATCTGGATAGAAGTATTTTGACAGATCATAACGACATTTGACGCATTTTGAGGGCATTTGGCGAATTTCTAATTTGTAGTGAAGGCATGTATTATTTGGGGTTTTTATAACTGTAATTTTGGGGTTTTTATAACTGTAAGTTTGGGTTTTTTTTAAATGATATACATGAGTTATTGAATTATGTTTGTTTATTACTTATTGTTTAACAATTTGTAAATTTGGGGTTATTGAGAACTTCAAATTTGGGGGTTTTATTAAAACTCGAAATCAATAACTTAATATAGTTAAATGTGTTGTTGTGCCAATGGCTATGACAATATATTTTGATTTTTACGGGTGATTTCTATTATTTTTTTAAGCTTTTGGAAGTTGTTTGTATCATTTTGCGTTTTGGGGATTTGGTTTTTCAGTCGTTGAATGGGTTTGTGTTTTGTGACTGTATGTAAATGAATCCATCTGCAAATTGAAATATATAGCTTAATGTAGCACCCTCTGCTATCATTGAAAATGTATGACTTATGCTATGTTGGACTTGTAATTTCAAATTTAGTAGCTTAATACAGATATTTGTATGTTTCTCTGTGTTGTTGGATGTTGTCGTTTGTATTTTGTTGTAAATAATATTTGAGTTATAATAAAAGAAAAAAACAATAGTTGTTTTTATTTCTTCCCATTTTAACGAATCTTTTAGTTGTATGAAATGGAGTTATAATGAATGGGTGTGGGTTTTGTAATTCAAAATTTCTTATAGCATAAATTTTGAATAGATAGATAGATGGTACATAAATGAATAGGTACATTGTTTTGGTTATCATATAAGAACAAAATTTTTGCACATAATACTTCATGCCCATTCCATTGTTAGTGATATATGATTTACTGATATATGGATTACATACGAGCCCATTCCATTGTTAGTGATATATGATTTACTGATATATAGATTACATACAAGTTGCAGATGTGTTAGTAACTCCATTTATAGTTCGATATGTAAATTTATTATTGCATTCTTGTCTTAGAGTAGTATTGTACATGCAAATACATGATGCAATTTTCATATGCATGATGAGTTATTGTTGTCTCGATTTCAATGAATATGAGTGGTGTCCATCCAGAGGGGGGATACCCAGGAGGTCCTCCGGACCTTAGCTTGCTACAGCTTTATCAAGAGCATTCATCATATTACATATGGGAAGGACATGTATATGAATATATTCTTCTGCACTTTCCATAAGTTTGTTATTTTTTAATAAATTGTAGTTTGTTTCAATTGCATATGAGAAGTACATGTGTATATATAATGTGACTAGTATGTGTTATATTTGATATATTTCAGGAAAAACAAGAAATGAGAATTGATGAGAAGACATTTCAATTGAACGATTGGCATCTAACCGAAGAGCAAGTTCAATTAGTGAACCCGTCTGGGTTGGGTGCTCTGAATGCAGGTCGAATTGATCATACTTTGGTTGCTGCCAATGCAGAAAGGTGGCACTTAGAGACCGATTCCTTCCATTATAACATTTAAATTGGTGATATGACACCAACTTTATTTGATGTGTGTGAGATTTTAGGATTGGCTGTGGATGGTTACTTGTCGTCCTATCAGTGACCTCCACAAGTTCATAGAAGACAATTTGGGTATAGTCCCCACTAGAGGTAACTTGACAACCATAAAATATTCATGGTTGAAGGTTAATTTTAGGGGATTGCCATCTAATGCATCCCCTGTGGAAATAGTCAAATATACTCGAGCCTATTTACTCTTCCTCATCAGTGTTACCATTTTCGCTAATGCATCAGTTGCAACAGTTCCAACAAGGTACTTGCAATTCTTTGAAGATATTGGGCAAGCTAGCAGATATACATGGGGTGCTACTGCCCTCGCATATCTATATCGTTCTCTTGAAAAAACTTGTACTTTCAAGCGAAGACATTTCAGTGGTTCTGCCACTCTTATGCAGGTAAATGTAATTTTTGTATAGATATAAGCAAATTACTTTAGAGTACTTAGAAATTTTTTTTTAACTTACTATAATGCAGCGCTGGTCTTATGAGCATATTATACATATAAGACCCATACCGCATAATATATCTTAAAATATGCCAAGGGAAAAACGGTGGGAGTGTCACACCCCAAGAATTTACAATACTATTATGCCTGAGATGTGACGGACCAAACATATATACATCTATTGATAGGACAAATTTACAGTGGCGAGGTCTTACATAGTAAATAAAGAAAGCTAGCACAACAACAGTATCTTCCAAGGTTGATCTTGACTAGCACTCAAAATGAATCCGTAGTTATCTGAAAAAAATGTTTACCATAGTTTGATGAGTTTGGCTACTCAGTAAGTGATCATCATAATCTTAAAAATAATCATGATTGAAAGATATCAATATTTTCCAAAATGAGATCTATTAACAGAAATGCATCAACAGTTTCACTTTCAATAAATGCATAATTTAAGTATAATCCTAGTAATTGAAATGCTTATAACACTTTTAACGGCAGTACATAATTCAAAGGATTTCACAAAATACCCTACTGGCGTCCCAAGTAGGTTACCTATATACCCCATCAGCGTCCTGATGGGTCCACTTAATCCCTATCGGCGTCCCAGATAGGTCCACTTAATCCTTACAGGTCCACTTATACCTCACCGGCGTACCGGATGAGTCCACTTAATCCCTACCGGGGTCCCAGATAGGTCCACTTATACCTCACCGGCGAACCAGATGAGTCCACTTGCATACTTAAATTATTTCTAAATCTCTTTAAACATTCGAAAGCAGCAATATCATGTACTCAACATATCACTGAAACCATTAATATGAATTTCACTTAAACTATTAATAACAGTCACTCTCTATAACATTTCAAAAATAACCAATCAAATATTTTGGGCTCAAATTTAGAAAGGTAGCAGTTTGTAAAGGCATTCTAGCATAATTGCCAATTTAATATGTATAAAAAAATTCTTATAAAAATTCAAGAATACGGAATTATCACAATTTATGGTATATCAATCCACAAATAAACATTTCACAACAATACTATAATCAATTACAAAAATGTCAATTTTTTTAATAATAAGGCAGTCATTTGCACATGAATTTTACAATGTCTAAATATTCAAAACAGTAGAAAGAAATATCACAATTTTACTAAAAGCAGAAATATCACATTTATTTCTAACAATAGACAAGAAAAATAAATAATTTTATTTTTCTAATTTACAGCATTCAAAATTTCTAACATAGATAAAATATCACAATTTTTATTAAAAAGATTATTTTTCAAGATAATGGGGTCACGTGAGCATAAAATTTATCGCGCCTAAAATTCATGATAATAAGCAGAAATAATTATTTCATTTCATTTTTAAAAAGAATGGATTATTTTTCGAGACAATGGGGTCACTTACACACAAAACTTATAAAATAAAGATCCTGGACGGAAATATCACTATTTATTAAAAACAGACTATTTTTCAGAAAGACGATGTCACTTACTCACAAAACTTATAAAATAAAGATCCTGGATGGAAATATCACTATTTATTAAAAACAGACTATTTTTCAGGAAGACGATGTCACTTACACACAAAACTTATAAAATAAAGATCCTGGATGGAAATATCACTATTTATTAAAAATAGACTATTTTTCAGAAAGACGATGTCACTTACACACAAAACTTATAAAATAAAGATCCTGAACGGAAATATCACTATTTATTAAAAACAGACTATTTTTCAGGAAGACGATGTCACTTACTCACAAAACTTATAAAATAAAGATCCTGGATGGAAATATCACTATTTATTAAAAACAGACTATTTTTCAGAAAGACGATGTCACTTACACACAAAACTTATAAAATAAAGATCCTGAACGGAAATATCGCTATTTATTAAAAACAGACTATTTTTCAGGAAGACGATGTCACTTACCTACAATTATTTGAGAGGGACCTTTCGATAAAAAAATTCGGTTCGAGAGAGAAGTTCACTGTGTTTCGACCAGAGAGAGAGATCTCAAAATTTTGTTTTAGGGTGGGAGTGCTCACATCCCCTATTTAAATTCTTATAACGTATTATTATATTATTTTATTACGCTCTACCTCATACCTGAGGTATCGCGTTAAAAGTCTGCTTTTATCGTACAAAAACCACGTCCGCTAAAGGACGTTGCCAGCTGCAAGCAGCAGGAGGCAAAAGCAGGCAAAGCAAAAGTTAAACCAAAGTAAAAGTTTTGAAAATAGTGATGGTCCCCAAGGACCATCATACTCAAACAGAACATCACTGATTTAAAAGCATATTTTCTCCTTCTTTTTTTTTTTTTTTTTTTTGAAATTTTAGGATTGTTACAGGGAGCCACCAAGAATTATTATGGCAATCCACATAATTTGATGCCTCCCATTAAACAAGAATTAGTTAACCTCCAACCAAATGAGGTCAGTTTGTACTTTTATATTCAATACTTTCAATTATATTATAGTATTTGTAATTTTTTTATTGACTGATTGTCATATGTGTGTTTGCACTTCATATAACAGATAATATGGAATTCATACTTCAAGCTTGATGAGGCCATTTCAGATGATAAGCATGAGGCATTTGAAACTGCAATGTGCGTAACAACTCTTATCTTTGATGATATTGCCGAGCCATATATGCCAGATCGTGTTTGCCGCCAATTTGGAGCTAAACAGGGCATTCTAAGAAATCCTTTATCTATTGGTACGAGGTCCACCAGACATGGTGGGCAGCGAGATTGACGAAATGTCAATTCTGACAAGATTCATTATTTGTTTTCTTTCCATGATCATACGATGACAGACATTGAAGTCGGTACTGCGAATGGGTTGCCCTCGGAGGAGTACAAGGCTTAGTACAGCTGAGTGTCTCATCCTATCATACGCAATGTCATTAACCCACCTATTGACATTTTGCAACCTCGTAACTAGGAAGAAGAAGAGTTGGTTCCTGCACATGAACCACAATATATAATGAGACCTTGAGGTTATGAGGACGAGTTGGTATGTATATTTTAACCTACAAATTGCTTTAGTTTTGTATTTGCCGATCAGTTTGTATGTTTATCGTAACCTACAAAATGTTTTTGCAGGTTAGTACAGTTAAGGCTAGTACAACCATGTTAGTAGAGGCACTTATACTTAGATAGAAATTGTACCCTGAAGTATATAATCACTTTAATAAAGCGTTTGAAATGTTGTCTAAGTTTGTGCCGGTCGACATGCAAGATATAAAAGCCAGGATGGAAATATTATAACATGAAGTTAATGATGAAGTTGTACAAGAATAGGGCGGACAAGATGTAGTGGGTAAGAGTAGTCGGGCTGCTTCTGAAGACTTGGCTCCATCCACACAATCTGCAGTTGAGGAGCGTAGAAGACATAACACGAGACAAAAGCAGTATCAGCCGAAGAGGAGGCGACATCTGTAATTGTATTTTTTTGATAATGTAATGGTCAATTTGACCATTGTAATATTATGAAAGAACAATGTAATGGTCGTTGAATACATTTGTATTGTTTCTAAAGGATGTTGTAAATGACTCTATTTTTTTGGGAATTATTTGTACTTTGTCGTGCAATATATATATATATATATATATATATATATATATATAGAAACGTA